TTGTCACGTTAACAATATACCAATAGGATGATAAGTCCACAAAGTTGCTCCGATCGTAACATTCTCTTGTCACGTTAACACCATACCTCTGACAATCCACTTATCAATCCTCGTCAATAGGATGATAAGTCCACAAAGTTGCTCCGATCGTAGGTCCACAAAACTATCACGTTAATAGTTACCTCTGATAGTCAAACTCATCAGATAATGGCCTACCAGGTGATGTGCCTCTATTCCGACTTCATGGATAGTGCCTCACTAGGTGATGTGCCTTGTCTACCTCTTTTTATTCCCCTGCTAAGTCTTAATCAAGACTGGGGGTTGGTTACTTGGAATCCATTGGATTAAGAGTAATAAATCTTTCACATCGTCAAGTTAACATTACACTTCTGACGATCATCACCCCACAGAGTATGAATGCAGCTTGTATCACTCCCAATTTGTCACGTTAACAATATACCTCTGATAATTCACTTATTAATCCTCGTCAATTGGATGATAAGTCCACAAAGTTGCTCCGATCGCAACATTCTCTTGTCACGTTAACACCATACCTCTGACAATCCACTTATCAATCCTCGTCAATAGGATGATAAGTCCACAAAGTTGCTCCGATCGCAACAAATTCCCGTCATGTTAATATTAAACCTCTGACAATCAACTTATCGATTCTCTTCAATAGAACGATAGGTCCACAAACCTGTCAAGTTAACATCACACCTCTGACGACCAAATCAACTTATCGACTCTCTTCAATAGAGCAATAGGTCCATAAAATACTGTTAGGTTAACATCACACCTCTAACAGTCAAACCCCCCCAATAACTTGTTAATTCTTTTTCAACAAGAATAACAAGTTTTCATTATAGAATCCCCAGTGGATTAAAGACTTTCTAAAATTATCCCTGAGATAATAAAAAAAGCTTCTGAATTTCACTCTAAGTGAAAATTCATGCCAAGTTAATGCTACACCTCTGGCACTTTCAATTTTCTTTTAGTGTTTCAAGTGAAAATATAACACAAGAAGAAAAAAATAACAAAGTCTATGTATTCAAAATCATAGCATTAAGTCTAAGAGGGTTCATTCTCTTAGCACAACGTTACATGTGGAATGGACTTAGACAATCTACATGTTAGCCCGATCCAAACGGTAGTCGGTAAAGGCTTATCAAATCCGTTGATGGCTGAGGGTTTACCAAAAATCCTATGCACGTTTGCAGGCCTATCAGCTTAATGGATGTGAGCTGAGACTTAAAACAAATGAGCCAAAGACAAGTCTCAAAGACTTAGTCAAAAATACACGGAAGCCACTTCCATGTCTTAAGTCAAAACGTTGAGGTCAGACCCGTGATGCAAAAACCGAACACCGAGGTCACACCCGTGTTCCATATTCAACATGCAAGGGTGAGACCCGCATCTCAAGTTCAAAATGCAGGGTCCACCTCCATATTCCAGAAACAGGATTATGACGCATACTTTCACACAGGTCCTACGTGGCAAATCCCTTCAACCAAGATGCCTTCGAAGCAAGTGCATAGAACAAATCCTTTACCACAAGGAATCAACAGCTCTAAGATCAGAGTTGAGATCCAAAGTATTCCGAAAATTTGTCCCAGTCAACCGCGAACTTTCAAAAACTTTAGAGGGGGTTCTGTAGGCTGTCTAAAAATCATAATAGATAGCTGATCCTCATCAAACACTAATAATGGAAGTTACAATCTGACGGCTTCCAGAATGCTACAATTTGAAGACTTTCACATGGATCGATGAAGGTTACAATCTGACAACTGATGAAAGCTCTAATTAATAGCCTTCACAATCAATATCGAGAGTTACAATCTGACGACTCTCACATATCAAAGAGCTAAAGCAAAGAT